TGGCTTGGGTAGCTGAGCTGTTTCTTAGTTTTCACTACTCTCCCTCGACCTTTCCGGCTTGGGTGACCCTGCCAGGAGTATAAAACTCCCGCCGGTTTAGCTCTTGGGTTCACTGTAGCTACTTAAGCCCCTCCACCAGCGACAAGGTCATACAGCTCCCAGGAGGGGATTTTCCAGTTAATACAGGAAAATTTGCAATGAGTGGAATTTTTCGAAGTTTGCACCTATCTGTGAACACTGTAAAAGCTATAATAATGACACTTTGTGTTTGAGTGTTGAGGTGTGATCAAATCGAAAATGCTATCCATTTCTTTCTTAAAAAAATATCTACTTAATATGTTTTTTTTATTTTTGAGGGTCTTTTCTTACTGATACTGCTGTAGAAATGATCACATTTCAAAAAATATAATATCAAAGAGTAGGCCTTTGTGAGTACTATCGCATAAAAAGATAATTTTGGAAAATGGCCAACGTCATTCTAAATATGGAGGTGTAACGACTTTAAGTGGAACACACTGTACAGTACCTGATAAAAACTCTAATATTAGAATTTTCTGATATCAATATAGTTATCAAAATTTGCTTGATTTTATTACCTCCTATGTACATAATATTCAATTAGAGAAAGTAGAACGGAGATTTTTAAAGATTATTAATTTTATTAGTTATGGTATCTTCCTCATGGTACATCTCAAGAATTATTGCTTCCTTGTTTTAACTGTAATAGTCGCTGTCATAGGCGAATTATATGTTTTCTATATTCCTTTTTAAAATTATAAATAACACTAAATGCAGACTCCTTGCATTTTATATCATGTTCCTAGACTTAATTCTAGAGTTCACTTTGCTTCGTCTATATCAAATGATTTCCAATTATCAGAAGTAAGCAGATCGATTTGAAATATTTTTCTTTTTATAAATAACATAAAAAAATTGTTTGTTTAGCAAATGTAATCCTTATCTTGTATATGTTAGTTAGCTTATTTGTTTTATTTGTCTGTTATTGTTTATCCTTAAGTTTTTTTATCTGGATTTTATATTTTAATTGTTCTATTTTCTGTTGTACTTATATTTTTATATCTAACATTAGTTTGTCTATTTTCTTTTTAAATTTAGGTTTTCTGTTTTACTTTATCCTGTAATTGGATAAGAAATAAATAGAGTATAATTAAATAAGAAAAAGCTGTACATATTTACATTTTATTGTTCTTAGTGTATAAAACTTGTAAAATTACTTTATTTTTTGCAATTTACAAAAATACGTTGGACCATAATTCTGAGCTAAATTAGGCAACACTAAATGTCCATATTTCAAAAGTTTCTTATCAGCCATTTTAAAGACATTTGTCGTCTGTTGGAGTGCTGGTGTTAAATCCCTAAAACGTTGATAAATAAATATGCAGAACTAATTACATATATCAAAATTTACTTGACAACAATTTCCATGTTAGTCTCCTCCCAGATCTGTTTTAATGCCATGTGTACAACTCCATCATTCTGAATTGGACTCAGTGAACATGTTGAGTAGACAACTATACCACCTTTCTTAACCAATTTTAAAGCATTAAATAATAGTTGCCGCTGAAGTTCCGGTATCTGTAACCGCTCTTTAATTCTTGACGGTTTAAAAATATTATTATCATTTTCATGTAATGAATGTCTATCCGTCGTACATGGAACATCAACCTAAAATATAAATAGTTTCATATTTAATCTATTCTATAAGGTATCCCAAATTGCATAGACCAAACTTTACCTGGTGATAGAACTTCCTAAAATAAGGAATAAGCTCACATAACCATGAGTTTTGATTCATATTTCATAGTGTGACATCTTATTTATGACTAACTTGGGACTTTTTTTTAGACAAAAAGGCCTCAATTGACTAAACAATAACGAAAGAACATTTTTATGGTAAAGAATTTTAATGTTCCGGCTTTAAATATATAGAAATGTCACCAAAGATGTCATTCTGAGAAATATGGGGCAAAATTTCATCTAAGTATCCTAGTTTTACTTGCTCCAGAATTGATTCTGATTCATAACCATTATTTAATTTTATAAAGGACAGGTACTTAAGACGTTTTAAGGATATTTGAAAAAAACATTTTCAGAAATCATACTAGATATATTCAGATTCAGAGAAAGATTTCAGAAGAGTGAGTGTTTAATTTTGTATAAATTCATATTTGAGTAGGTAGCCAATGGATAAATTATTTTATTTATGGACGTGCATGTGGTTGCCGTACACGTCCCGATATATCGGGACTGTTACTGTTATTGGCTACTTTGTCCTGACATCCCGACAAAACCATTCAGTCCTGATCAATTGCCTAAATAATACTCCGTGGCCTGCGCTTTCAGCAATTTGTGTGTCTAAAGAACTTTTTAGAGATCGGTCTTTCTTCAGAGATTGGAAGTTTAAAGGTTCTGTTGAAGAAAGAAGGCTTTATTTTTTGAAGAATACCGAATATTTGTTTATGAAAGGAATTGGTTACTTCCAGAAACTATGGAAGCAATTTTACAATGTCAAGTGACATGTACAGAATTTTATCGGTAAGCAAAAGGACAAAATGAATTGCTAAAAAAGGTAAAAATCATCTGAGAAATATTATCAACCAAGTACTTCTTCTTTTCCGCAACTATAAGTTAAAACATTATTGTTATTTATACAATATGTTATGTTTCTGAAAGTATAATATAATATTACTAACAAAATTTCACTCATTGTTTCTCTCCTCCACTACACTGTCCTAACGATACCTTAGCCAAATATGGCAATCCTATACATGCATCATATTATAGGTAGGTATTGTTTTCACTTATTATATTACCACAAAATAGCTCATATTATTATTTCTATCATAGACATTTCAATGAATGTAAATTAGCAATACCTCATACTATACTAGTTGCTGCTGTTTTATGTAAATTTGTTGTCTGGAACTCCGCAAATACTATATGTCTATAACAGTCAAAAATATTCAACTTCTCATATTAAATTTAATAAAATTTTCAAAATGTAAACTAAAAGGTTATCATTAAGATAGTATTATATAAAAATTAATTTACCAAAATTCTATCAAAATTATCCTCTACAATTATCCGGCCATCACGATTAGTTAATTTTATATGCTCAGTACTTAACCACTTTTCCTTAAAATCATATAAAAACTGTTTGTATACATTTTCAATTCTATTTAGCCGTGAATATGATATATCATTTGAAACGATACAATCAGGGTAAAGGGTTTGAAGAGCCAATAAGCTTTTGCCGCCTGGAGCTGCACACATATCCAGCATTTTACTTCCAGGCTCAAGATCCAGGGCCAAAACTGGTAGAACAGAACCTCCATCCATTAGATAATAGTTTAACACACCGGTGCTGCCTTTTTTGGGGGATTCAAAATCATTTTTGCTTTCAGCTTCGTAGCAATATATATTTAAAAACTCGGGAAAATGTACATCATATTCTTTTTCTATGCTGACAGCAAATTGTGATTCATTGTCGTATAGTTTGTAATGACTTGACTCAGGTATAAAATCCTCTTTTCCCTTTATTTTAGTTGCAGGTACAAATTCATACAGAATTTCAGCAGAAAGTGCATTTTTTGAATCTACTAGACGCCGTGTGTCATACTCTGCATTTTGCAAACTACTGTCTAAAGAAAATTGTTTTTTATGAACTTCTGCATTTGTTATTTCATTTTTGGTATTGTTTTCTACTACTTTCTCAATCATTTCATCCACATCAAATATTTGTTGTAATCTTGACTTTTGCATCCTCTTCTCTAACTTTTCTTGAATATAACCTTTTTCTAGGTTAAATAAAGTTCTCATGTTTATAGCACCCCCAAGTTCTAATTTTCTCATGGCTTCTTCGCTATCGCCGTAATTATTTATTATAGCTACGTATTTTTGAGTGCCCAATAAACCCTTTCTTATTGTTAACCATTGTTTATCAAACACTTGTTTATAGAAGTCATCAAAATGGTTGAGTGCTTTATCTACTGGGTGTATTTTCTTCCTTAATACAGACTGCAAATATACAATATTTAATATTTCACTATTTTGCTTAATTATAAAATACTTTTATTACGAACCCAATGGTCCGGTGGATTTTTATATCTAACCAATAGCTTAATTTCTTTATTAAGTCGCTTTAGTATACTATAGGATAACATTTTTTCTTATCTTACTAGCAAAAACTAACCTAATTTTAAATTTTAATTTGTTTTATTTTTTATATTTTTTAAAACCAAACCATAGACGTCAAATATATAAAATTCTGTAATTCTGTGCCTCAGGACCATAGATTACCGTGCTCAAGACATCGAGGAAATCAAGATGTTCCTTGGTAATCTAAAGCCTAAAGCACCTTTTAGCAACTAATATCAGTTCAGAGTAACTCTAAGTTGCTATTAACTACTAATAGTTACTATTTTTTAGTATTTTTGCTAAATCGAAAGGTGACAAATCCTGAACTACCAAGAAACGAGAATAACATTTTTATTTTTACATTTGCTGGCCCCTCACCTTACCGATCAGCCAATCCAGGATAGAAGGAGATCCCACAAAGCGCCTATACTGGCTACTAATACCTTTTTAACAGCAAAACTACCCATATTCCCATATAGGTGGTATAAGGTACTTTACAATATTGCTAGTCGTTTCGGAGCTGTTTTGACCAATGTTGAAACTTGAAAGGAAATATATTTGTGTTATTTTTGGATGAGAAATCTTCGTATGAGATTTTTTTCAATCTATCCATACTTCTATTTTTAATTTTGTTGTTTTTTTAATTACATATTATTTTAATGTTATTTACTTATAAGTGCAATACAAAGACACATTTTTAATGAGGGCATAAATTGGTTCTTGTTCATGCAACGAAGTAAAAGAACTGATGTAAATCAAGTTAATTTTAGAACAGATAAGTCATACAAGTCAAAAGGATGTATTTATTACTCTTAATTATTATTTAATTGAAAACATCTGTGATGTAAGAAAATAATTTATTTGACTGTAGAAGTCGAAGTGTACCTAATACAGCTCCAGCTGAAATAAATTAATATCTTCTATTTTGTGATAACTTTAGAATAAACGTATGTATAAATTTGAGATTTAATATGATTATAAAAACATTGAATTGGACGCACATACCTACTTAAAATAATGAATTATTGAATTGGATTGGATTGGATTGAAAAAAGCAGTATTCTGAGTTCTGACGTACTTTGGACGTACGTCTGAGCTTAAATCCTAATTCCCGGGGTTGTACAAAATTGTGAGTATTGATTGTAATGTTTGGAAATTTTTCCGATTTTCTTAATTGTTGTATCAATTTCAGTGTTTAAAGGAAAGAGGTAATTAATTTGTGTACTTGGTTACTAGGAGCTATAAATGCTGTTTTAAAGGTTCACTAAATATGAATAATGACTACCAGAAAATAAAATTAATAAGAATTAAATCCTTTAATGAAAAGAGAATATAGAGAACAGCATAATAATTGATATAAACATTAATAATACAAGTTAAGGAAACAAAGCAGCATGGATGATTTTGAATTAAAATGGATCATGGAGAAGGAAGAGGACCAGGTTTAGAGACCATAAGAGCTTTACATCAAACTGTCGTAGCCCTTAGAGCAGCTTTAGAAGAAAGCAAAAGTGAAATTCTTGAATTAAAATCAAAAGCTTGGCCTGTAGACACAGTACAAGAAGCTTTGAGAACTTTGTCTTTGGAAAACCATGTTTTGAGAAGGAAATTAATAAATTGGAATGGGGGAAAGTCTGATAAAGCTATTGAAACTGAAAATGAAAAAACTGATAGCACAAACATTGAACCAATAAAAGGTAAGTTTTTTAAATATATTTTCATTGAATATATATTAGTTTCTTCATAGGTATATTTTTTCTTTATATATATACCAGTAGTTCAATGTTACAACAATTTTGTATGTAAATTGTAAGCACTTATTTTTATGTAGTAGGTTCTGATATGTACCTAAAAATTTTTAAATTCACTGGAAAAATTAAATATGTATTTGTAGTTTTAAAGCAGGATATGTAATCTTTTATATTATACTTTAAAGGAAACACAGAAGAAATTCGTCCGCGGTATTCTGCTGAAGATTTGCAACAATTAGAAAATACGGAAAATATAAGCCCTGTTTTTGATCAATTGCAAAAGAAAAAAGTGACTATCATTTCTCCTAAACAAAGTCCGAAAAAGGGTAAACGTAAAATTGAAGCAAAAATTTCTATCAAAACCGAATCGATCAGTACTAAAAAAATATCTAGATCTTTGGAAAGTTTAACTATATTAAAATCACCGTTAGAGAGTTCAAGAAAACTATCTTTTTCTAAAACTTTCAGCTTTTCAAATTTATCCAGTCACATCAATCGAGAATTTAATTTCGATATTAATCAAGATACCAGCATGAGCGATAAGAAAGAAGATGCAAAAAAACAAACAGAAAATGATATAAATGAGAATACTTCAATACCTGAAGAACCTCAAAGTCCACAAAATGATTTAGAGCAAGCGGAAGAGGTAGATGATATAGAACTGATATTTACTACTGACGACACCAAAGATTCAGATTTTAAGGAACAGCTCGTTTCAATCGATGCTGGAGATAGTGTGCAAGAGGCATCTAATATCTTGCAGCTTCCATTGAGTGATGTGGATCATCTCGATGCTTCTGATAGAGAACTTGACGATGACGTGTTTAACGATAATTTTGAAAATGAAAATCAGGAAAATACAAATTTTCAATCCCTTGAAATGAAACGTGGTAACTCTCAGATATATGATTCAAAATCGGATAACTCTATAAATCAAGAAAAAAGTTTAAAAAGCTATTATTCTTTGCAAGATTCTAGTTTTGAGAATAAGTCTTTAGAAAAAGATGAAAGTTTCGATAGGTTTGATGACAGAATACGCATCGTGGAGACTGATATTTCCAAATGTGGTATACATGATGTTGAATATGTTGCTGGCAGAAGGAATACTTGCCCTAATCCTCTACAGTACAGGCCCCTTTTGCACAGGTAGAGGAATAAATTACTTATTTTATATTTGATTTCTTTTAATTTACTATCAATCAAACATATGTAGTTTCTAAAATATGCAATTCACTGAAAAATAATTTTATAATATAATATACAATATGTATACATACAGGGTTTGCCTGTATAGGTGTAACAAATTTTAACAGCATATAAAACTCGTCAAAATAGTAAAATAAGTTCCCATAAAAATTTGTCCGGAAATGCACATTAAGGGTGCTATGTTTGCTTCTTGAAAATAGAACCAGTTATTTACATAAACCGATTGTTATTATTTTTGGTACACATACATTATTTTTAAAGCTGCAATTGACTTGTGATAAAATTGTAATAGTGGAGTATGGGTACGGGTAGTCCAAGGGCAGATATTCATTTTTAGTTTACCTTAATTGTTTAGTTTAATATAAGTTAAAAATAAAAGAAGACAATTTGTGTGAAAAATTGGAATCCTGCAGTAACAGTTACAAACCTTTCTTTTTCTATCTAGGTACTTACCTTAGGTTTGGCCTTATTTGGAGGTTTAAAGTGTCTAGTAATTTTTTTTTATGTTGCTTTATAATATGACTTTTTTTAAGGAACTGAAAAACCTATTTTGTCTTCCACAGTTTTTTATTAGGATTAGGATTACATTATCAAAATTCAAATTTCATTAGAAAACTCGATGGATGAAGGTCGATCTAAGTCGGGATCTTGTACTATACATGATCTGCTATGTGTTTGGGCCCTCTTAAACTCTTTATCCGCCACTGGGGTTAACAGAAATTAAAGTAGGTGATAGTGTTAATAAATTTGTCTCCACATATGAAGTATTTTTGGTTGTTTGGATTGATGTTTATAATTTGAACTAAATGTGGAAAAAAATAAATGTTGATAAAGCTCTTGATCTAGAGCGAAACGTCCATGGATAAATAGTGATTTTATTTATAAAGAACCAAGGTCCCAAGAAATTCCAAGTCTTTGATGTGAAATAATGGTTCAAGAAAATTTTTAATAAAAATGATAGTTATTGGCTTATCGATCCTCATTTAATAAAAGAAAATAACTGCTTCCAGTTATAGTGGTTTTAAGGCTTTTACTTGGTCGTTGCAGTTGCAGAATTACCTTTTACTTCCGTTAGCCTTAACTGTAAATCTTTGACCTGCTTGTGTTGTTCTTGGGCTAGGCTCTGAACTTATTAGAACTTCTAGGTCTGCTCTGATGTTCATTTCATTTCTTATAGAATCTCTTATGGAAATTGAAAACCAACTTTCTCTGAGAAAGTCTTTATAAGTCTGTCAAACGTTTAAAAGACTTAGAAAGACTTTCTCAGAGGTTTTTAGAGAAAATAAGTCTTGTTTTGTCGTTATTAGAATTATTTTTGGCAAAGACAAATTTCCATAAGGGGTCTAAGGCCGCTTTTAGATGTAAATTAATTTTTTTCTACTATATTGATGAGTTTCACAACATGTTACCACTTATTCAGAGACATATTGTATAGTTAATCCTAGTCTATAATAGAAACATCTGTAATCCAGAAAGTTCTTTAATTTTTTTTAAATAAATATTATTTTCGTTATCTACTTTTCATTTCTAAATTTCATTCAACTTCATACTTACTTCATAAATCAGCAAAACGTATTTTTGTTGAGTTATTGATAATTTCAGAGAAGCCCTTTCAAAAGGGCTTACCGTGGGCAGAAAAAGCAGGCCGATATTAACTCATTCAAATGCAATAAGAAAGGAATCTGGAGCCCAGACAGACATATCAGCTCTCCCTGGGTCGTCTTGGAGGTCTGAGAGTAGTTTAGCAAATAAGGTATATTATAAAATTTGTTACATAAAAAATGCAGGGTTTCCCGAAATTAGCCCGCAATATTTCGTCATCAAATTCTACGACTTAAAACAAGATAATAAGTATATATGAATATAAGCAGGAAATATCTCTTAAATGTGAGTCCCCGAATGTTGTTTATTTTTCTTATAGTTTCACTAGTGTTCTAGATAAAATAATGAAATCATTAAGTTGCAAATCTAGTGGTTAAATATAATTTTTAAATTTTAAACAGAAGTATTCCAATCTGGAGGAGTTGTGACTAAATTTCACTGTAACTGTTCCATTATTTGACCTAATATTAGAAATTTCAGAGTTTTATAGTAAAAAGGTGATCTTGTGATTGTGTAATATTATGAGAGATTGCGTACAAAATTAAGTACATGTCACAAAAATACCTGTTCTAAATTGTAAACCATTTGAATTGATGACAGGTCATAGAAAACTTGAGTATTAATAATTTTATGTGGGAATTTATTGAATTTATGTTGTAAAAACTAATCTTTAATAAAAAATTTGTGCTTAATATGGACCAACAAATCTATTTACATATTTGCCACCAAAAATACATAGGTTACACTCTTCTGTAATTCCTCTGGAGGCCTTTAATGCCTTATACATAAGGGCCACCCCCCAGTTTGCTTCATTGTGGCTTCATCATGCTAGATTCATATGACTTTTTAATTGAACAGCGGAGGCTAGCCTCCATTGTCTTTCGTAAGCGTTCACCATTGACCATTTGGTTGGAGGATCAACCATAATAATGAAATATAAATTAGGTTTTCTTTTGCAATTAAATATTATTTGTTAATTTTATCATCACATGATAATATGATTGACTACCTACCTTTTAATATTCGGTAAGCAAATACCAAAATTTAAATTTTTTTGTAGAAATATAATTTTTAATCTGGTAGAAATTGTTTTAACTATATCTAAAATTTTAATCTCTATTAAGAAAGACGTTTAATTATTTAAATCAAGCTTAAGTCGTAAAACACAATTATTATTTGTTTTGTCTAATGATTTTATTGTGGCTTCTTGTGACCTAATGATTGTAAAAAAAGAAAAATTTATTAATTGTGAAGTGTCAGTATCAACAATCTCCATTTGGACATGAGTGTATTTTTAATGTAAAATTGTTCAAAATTTATTTTCTCAAGCATTTGAAAATTATTACACATATCCACCAAAATAGTAGCAATACACATTCAGACACATTTGCAAAAAACAACTTTCAGAAGCTGTAGCCTACTCAGGAGATATTCCTCCGTCTATGTTCTAGTTATAGAAAGCGTTGGTGAAATATTGTAAGGGTAGAGACAAATTCTATGTCCAAAGTAATGTCATAAAAATATCTTTTAGGCGAGATTGGGTGAAAATTTTACAACACTTCCATCTAAGTTTCCAATGCCCGGTTCTCGTCTCCGATTATCCGAGAAAACCGTAGAAGCAAGGAGGGTTTTACTCTCCGACATAGGTTTTACCAGCATGGTTCCAGAGTTGTCACGTTCAGCTGACCATTTATTTCCACCTAATTTAAAGCCAGTAGGTCCAGCACCCACGTATGGACAATTTCTTAGAACTACAGATTTATATTCCCCTGGATGTACTGTAAGTTTAATAACATTTTTCATTAAGTTTCAGGTTAGGCTAGGTTTTTTTCAGAGCAGTTAAACATTTTTTTAGTCTCAAAAATTCACTTGGGCCGCCGCTGCTTCTCCCAGTGATGGCAGTCAGACCCAGTCCCGGTACAGCAGCATGTACCCATTACCGTCACCGCCTGCTCCTTCAAGGCGATGTTCAGCTCCAGTCTCTCCATCTCGGAGAAATATAATTAAGCAAACTCCGTCTAAAGTGAAGTTTGCTAATGGGTCTTTGCCGGAGCTGAGGAGTGATTGGACGGTGACCGTAGACAGCGGAGACTCTACAGACAGTCTGGTTGAGGAGGCCGAAAATTATCTTCGCAGGTCAATCGACTGCATTATGACGGGAAGGGATATTGTTGCCTCATCCTACAGGTAATCAACAGCATTTCCTTCAAAAGATTTGCATAAAATTAGAGATGGGCAATGGGAAATTTTCCGTCTCGGAAAGTTTCCAAAACGGAAATTTTCCGGGAAGAAATAATCGAAGCTTGAGAAATTTTCCCTGGAAAGTCTCTGAAAAAATTATATTTCTAACAATTTGTAAACTTGGAGCCAATTTTACTTCTAACTTCTATGAACATACACAAAAAATCGTTGGTTAATTTCGCATTTTCGGTTAATTCGGAATACTTTTAATCTTTGTTAAGTCTACAATCTACATAATAGAGAGCAATACAAGACTCGTAAATTGCCTTCTTTTCAAATTTAATATGAATTTTGATAGTTGAACCAAAGTACAATTACATTTTAAAACTAGTATAATTATTTAATGTATTTACTATTTGTTTGTTAAAAAATAAAGATAAATATTGTATACTGTATAGTGTTTACGCATTGTAACCCTCAGCATGTAAATTTTTCTAACGGATGATTAATACATAATTTATATTTTTCCAATATTTATACCAATATAAATAAAAATGTATATAAGTATTTGGTCTTTTTGGAAAGCTGATGGTATGTAGAACACAATACCAAATCCAAAAAATATTTTTTGAAATTTTCGGAAAATTTCCGGAATTTTCATTGGAAACTTTCCAGGAATTTTCATAGTTTGGGAATTTTCCCATCTCTACATAAAATATTCAATATATATTTTACTATCTCTTGACATTCTATTGTTTTGAGCCAAAAAAGAGATATCAAATGTGTGATAATGGAATTTGTGGAGGTTTACACATTAGAACTTTTTTTTAGCAACTGTGACACTCTCAAAAAGGTAGATATTTGCATTGTTGTTTTGCTGTGATTAAACCCAGCATTTTCATGTAAGCAACTAGACGCTACTATTGGCCATTGTTGGCAATGCCATATTATTAAGCTAATAAAATAAGACAGAAATAACAATGTAAATGTTGTGAACGTTCCTATTTTTGAAGTTTCTAAGAGACGACATTCTTTTCCCACTTTAAGAATCTGGATAAACAAGAAAGTAATTATGACTTGTATATGTATTATTGACTTTATTTTATAGGTACTTTATTTTTTTTTATAATGAAACACACACCTGTAGTCAACTAAATTGTATCATGTAAAAAAAATAATTACAAAAAATTGCAAATTTGTTGAAAACTGCTCGAATTGAGGGGGAATGATAATCTATATTCTATATTACAGTAAGGTGTTCAATATTGCCATTTCTTTTGCCAAAGTATAAGTGAACTTGTGTGGTATTAAAGAATCACACAAATTTACAAAAATTTTCATGCAGCTTCCATCTGGAGTGATACATTATAAATTTGCCTCTCAGTGATTCTGAGAAATTATTTTAATTTTGACAGTGGTCACTGGAAATGCATAAACTTGATATACATTTTTTGAAAAAGAAGAGGCATTGTAGATTTTCACAACTTATGAATATGAGCACAAGAATATCCTCATAACACTCATTCACTCTCACCTCTCTTTCTTACTAAGAGCTTAGCTGTAATGTCCGCTTAAGCGTTAGCAATCACGAAACTTGCCGTTCCAATATTTACCTCACAGGTTAAATTCACAGTTGAAGGAGATTTAAATACATGACTTACCATTATTTCTAATGAGGAATATGTGGATTCAGATGGATGGTGCTTCTGCTCACAGTGGGTCATGGAGCACTATTCATGTTGCTGGATTGGGTGCGTTTTGGATATAAAACATTCAGCAACTGATATCAGCCTCTTTTAATTGTCAGTGTTCCGAGGAACAGCTACTCCGAGGGCTATATGTTCCTACCGGCATTGAATTATACTCGCAACAACTAGTGCAACAGTTAGGGTCGTTAGTCAGTCATTTGAATAGCACAGTTGGGAGTCAGCACGACAAATGGAGCCATTTGCTCTCCCCGCGTACAATGTATTTCCTTGTCGTGACGATACGACGCAAAACAGCTGGTTCGGTTGTCTCACCTATGACACACTGATGAGGACTAATAAGTCCGAAACCGGTCTGTGCCTGGTGGGATAAACTGACGAACAAACCTAGCTGTTGCACTAGGTGTTGCGAGTATAATTCAATGCTGGTAGGGGCATATAGCCCTCGGAGTAGTTGTTTCTCGCAACACTGACAATTAAAACATTGTCTTCGCCCTCTGTGGGTGGCAGTCGTGCAACAAGTACCTGCAGTATAGCAGGTCACTTCCTACTGTAGCCATTTGAATGGCACAGTTGGGAGTCAGCACGACTGATGGAGCCATTTGCGCTCCCGCGTACAATGATATCAGCCTCATTGCTATGGCCATTGCTATCAGCTATATTTAAGTTTCATGGATTATTTCGTTTGGGGATTTATTAAAGAAAGGGTGTATAAAATAAACACAACCTCAATATAATTAAGAGAGCAGTTGAAGGCTTAATTAGGTGATATGAGGAATGCGCTGAAGTTTGAGAACAGTATTTCAATTATATATTTTTTCTTTTACTCTCAATTTTTCTTCTTTTCAATATTAAATATTTTATTCTGTATTACTTTGAAAAACTTATTGTTACACGTGTAATGAATCCATAAGAACTAATTTTTATCAAAAACTAAACATTTTACTTAAAAATAGTGAGAGACAAGATACCTTTTTGCTTTTTAATAAATCGTAATTAAAAAATAATTGCTGTATTTTGAAAAATGTTCAATGGCAGAAATTTTTGCAAAAAGTATACACGACATTACTGTTTCACAAAATTTTGTGTTAATTATTATTATTAGTATAAATTCGGTTAGGTACCTAACACATGGTATTCAGGAAATATTAAAAGCCTTGTAATTTTTTCCATTGTCACATTTTAGTGAAGCCACAAAGTCTGTTCCAAGAAGAGCCTCTGCCCCAGAGCCTTCACGTGACAATGTTCCACCGCCCGGTTGGCAACCGTTTCTACCTCGAATTTCCAGGGATTTGAAGCCAGATCACTGGGTAAAAGTTATAACTCAGGAAGGGAGGGTACGAGGAGGAAGGGTAAGGTATGTCGGACCGGTCGTTTCGCAGACCGAGCAATTTGTTGGGGTACAGTTAAGTAACCCAGATGGATACTGTGATGGTACTTATGGCAATAGAAGGTACTTCCAGTGGTAAGCCAATTATGTTTTTCTCCTCAAATTGAAAAAAATATATATATTTATTTTAATGTTAAAATTATTAAATTACCATATGGAATGAAATGTGTTTTAAGTTTGAGCATTACAACAATTTTTCTAGTAAGATCAAATACATAATTGATCTCTATGATTCTGATCTACAGAAATTTACGATTCATACGATTCATCTGTAGACTAAGAGTTTTGTTGTGATTAAATCCAGTGTATTCTATTTGCACTAAAAAGGAACTAGCCCCTACTATTGATGGTTGTTGGTATTGCTATTTTAGTAACGTAATAAGACCTGAGAGAATAGCTAATAGCCCAGTCGGTGGAAGTAAATTTACACCAAAAGCACAAGTAATTAGGAATATGGTTGTTTTTTTTATAAGTTCTTCAAAGTGTAGATTAATATAAGAAAAAGTTCACTGGTCTATCAATTTCCCAAAGTCCAAAAAAATTTTGAAAAAGTTTTGATTTTCGAAATTCTTTAATATTTTGGACTGGGATCAAGATAGAGAAAAATAAAAAATACTGCCATGTAGAAGAAGTTTTTTTCAACAAAAACATACTTTGCACTTTTTTCGTCCGAGCTATGGTTTCTATGGAAAAAATTATTAAAGTCATGAAGTCATCTTCCGCGGGCAAACAAGCCAATAAATTTACTCTTCAAACGTAAGAATTGGCAAATTTCACTTAAATATTGAATACATTAATATGTAGAAATGAATATTCGATCTTAATTCAATGCAAAAAAATAAAAAATTAAAAAAATTCAAGAAATGTTTATAAAAAATTATGTACATATTTTTATTACAAAACCATAGGAAAAAATTTGAAGAGAGCGCACTGCGCAGCCAGGCGCCCACACACCGACACAACGCACACTCTCATGAAAACTGGCGGCCCGTGCCCACCGAATTTTATACCTGTTTTAACGTATACGGTATTCTATTCTTTGAATATTAGTCTTCATAATGTAACAGTACCAAATTTTATATTAGACGTTCAAAGCAGATTTACACCAGGAACCTGAAAAATTGTTATTTTAAAAGTGATTAAAGGTGAAAAACGTTCATAACCAAATTAATTTATACTTAAAGATTCTTAATTTGTGTATTTCCCCCAACATTTTAAAATTAGTTTAGTTTTAATAAAGTTCCAGAGGCTAATATACAGGGTATAGCAAAAGTACTGGCAGAATAATTCGGCGGGAGAGCATTTTAGAGAAAAATGTTAAATACAAAAGTTTCAGGATTTCTCCCTGGCTATCCTATGGTGACCTTGACATTGACCTTGACCTTGAAGATCATTTCAAGGTTAAATGTGATTTTTCAAATGGTACCCTATACTTTTGACCCCCGAAATGAAAAGAGCGGAACATTTTACGTTCAGATATGACATTGAGTGACCCTTTTGACCTTGGGGCCCCCACAAGGTCAAACAAACAAAAGTACAGGAATGGCAGAATAACTCGGCAGGAGAGCATTTTAGAGAAAAATGTTAAATACAAAAGTTTCAGGATTTCTCCCTGGCTATCCGATGGTGAAGATCATTTCAAGGTCAAATGTGATTTTTCAAATGGGACCCTATACTTTTTACCTTAGAAATGAAAAGAGAAAACCTACTCCTTGTTTGGTGTGGGTCCTAGCATCTCCTTAGACTGACTACAACCACTGGTTCCCCACCACCAGTTCATGTGCTCCTGGTTGACCTAGTCCCTGATGATGGTTTTAACCCAGCTGAAGGGCAGTCCTACGAAGGGTTCTGGCCCCTGCGCAGTCTGACTGGCCTCCAAGGAGGCTATTCTATATCTATCTGCTATTTCCTTGCCCAGAATCCCAGTTTGACCTTGTGGGGGGCCCCAAGGTCAAAAGGAAGGGGGTCACTCAATGTCATATCTGAACGTAAAATTTTCCGCTCTTCATTTCTGGGGTCAAAAGTATAAGGTCCCATTTGAAAAATCACATTTGACCTTGAAATGATCTTCAAAGTCAAGGTCAATGTCAAGGTCACCATAGGATAGCCAGGGAGAAATCCTGAAACTTTTGTATTTAACATTTAACATCTAAAATGCTCTCCCTCCGAGTTATTCTGCCGTTCCGGTACTTTTGCTAGACCCTGGATATATTTTGCCGTAAAGTCAAGATTCCTAAAATTTTTAAAATAATTACAAGGTTCGTATTTCGTAATAAAAAGATAAAATCCATTACCCGGAAATTTTATTTGTGAAAGAAGTCACCTAAATAACAATTCCCGACGTTGAAAAAAATGTTTCCGACTATCCTTATGTTTAAGTATATTTGTCATTGAGACACTCGGTTTTCGATTCGAATAGGTATATAGTATATGCGTAATTTTTTATTCGATCTTTTATTTGAAAAAAAAATTAAACGTACCATTGAAAAGTTTAGACTTCCTACCTGAAAATGGACTATCACAATTATTAATTTAATAGCCCATAACTATGCAATAGTTTATAAGGGCCGGACTTCAAAAAATAGGTTCTCACGCGGCTGGCCGAGCTTCGCGCGCGCGGAATGCATATCTGGTTTATTGAATTTTTCCGGCCAAACCATAGCTCGGACGAAAAAAGTACAAAGTATCTTTTTTGTTGGAAAAAAACTTCCCCTATAAGGTGGTATTTTTATTTTTCTCCATCTTCATTTCGTTCCAAAATATTAAAGAATTTCGAAAATCAACATGTTTTTCAAAATTTTTTTGGACCTTGGGAAATAGACCAATGAACTTTTTCTTACATTAATCTGCATACTTTGAAGTACTTACAAAAAAAATCAGCCATATTGCTAGTTACTTGTTTCTGTGGCCTCCACCCACTGGGCTATAATGTAAATGAATTCAAAGTTCTTCATGTTGAAGGTTACATTATGCCGTCACTTAAATATTATTTTTAGAAATTCCAAATGAAACGTGATAAACAGAAAAACTAATTATTATTTACTTTATTTTGCAAGTATTTTATGTTGATGTAACATTGTATATAGAAAATATATTATAAATGGTATAACTTTAAGTGGGGGGTCATTTTTTCTCAGAATCTGAAATAATTTTTTTTTTTTGTATAAATAGGTAGTCGAGATTGACTTAGTATTTTAAATTCAAGCTCAAAAACATTTCAAGTTTTTAATAAAAATTATTTGTTACTCTTGTAAAACACTGTTTAGTTTATGAATTTAAGTGTTAACGACCTCTGACAGTGACTTAGTTTAGGCATTGAGTGAGAAATTTTTCACTCAATGGTTTAGGTGAACTACATAATATTAATCCACTTGATGTATGTGACAATAGAATGTTAGGTGGGCTAAAATCAAAGACGAACGTTAATTTGATGAAACGACAATGGCCGAATATGTCCATGCTTCATTTTATTACATTTATTTTAGTTTGAGTATGAAAATTATAAAAAAAAGGTTTAATAAAAATTCATTTTTCGCAAAGGGTTTTGAAAAAAACAAACTTATGATACGTGTTTTCAAAAGTTTAAAGCAGCCTCCATATAAATATGACCCGCATTTAAAGTTACACCCTTTATATCTCTGACAAATTGTTTTATTGGGAAAATAAAGAATTTGTTGCTGAAAGTAGATTTCCAGCGGTTAGATTGGAAATAACAGAAAAATATTGTTAAATACAGAATATTTTTTGATATTACATTTTTATTTCAGTGAGCCATACCATGGCATTTTTGTATCTTTCAAAAAAGTGATCATGGGTTGGAGGCCATAGTATTAAGGATATATTCACATGCTGCGGCATATAAAACATTAGTCTGTCTTATCTCGTTTTAAATACTCTAAGATTGAGTAGGCATAATCAACTCTCAAGAAAGTTATAATTTTTTCTAAACTTTATTGAACAGTTATCTTCTTCGCTGTACCAATTTTTGATTGTGTTGTGGTCGAAAAATTACAGCACTGAGTTGAATTATTGCCTTAATGTGATTCTGTTATTCTTCTGCTTCTCTAAATCTTAATTGTGCCATAAAGTGGTACAAAACACACAGACTTCCAAGATTAAAATCTTAACTATATTAGTGATAATATCTAGTCATTAAATAGTAATATTGTTTGTATAAAAAAACTATTTATTTTTAATTTATAGTTTTATACCAATATACTTGTTTCTAAATTCTCAAGATTTCAGTCATTATTTAAAAAGTAGGTAATCACCAGAGAGCGGACAATTTGTGACATTAACCTTGAACATAGATATGTCATTCATAAACCTAGATACATTATCCATGACGCAGTGGCATGTCGGGTATGCATCGAAAATTTACGTGATAATTCACGAAAATTCCACGGTACATACATTTTTAGGCGTTATAAAATATTTAGAAAATCAGAAATTGTATACTACATATTTATTAAATAAAGTTCGGTTAAAAATAGTGTCGTTCTTTTAATTGGAAATTAGGTGTCAATGTAACAAATATTCTCAGGCGACGCACATGATAGAATAGTTCAACTCACGCTCCATTCATAACAGGGCTGCAGTTTGAATTCTGACCAATAGGAATTCGATAAACGCAACCGATGTCGATGGATGGACTAGAGATGGGCGCAAGTGTCATTTCATTTCTTTTCTCGTTATTTAACCTGTTCACATGATATATGGATTTTAAATAAAGGGTACAAATCTTCGCGAGGATAATACGATATATTTGCTATACATAATAATTATATTTTGCATAGTTTATACACAATACATTTTTGAACGCGTACACATCTCTATCAAAATTTGACCTATTCTTCGGGTTAATGACACACATTGTCCGCTCTCTAGTAATCACATACGTTTTTATAAATTTTAGTTATTACTTGAACGTAACTCATTAGAACCCCATATTTAGCAACAGTTCTTTTCGATATTTTCTTATGTCAAAACTCAGATTGATTAGAAATATGCAAAGGCAAAAGATACAAAATAATTACCAGCTATGGGTGGCCAATTCTATGCATCTCATATATGCCGAAAGTGTAGACAAAAGGTAATTAAGTTGCCACAGACTTGATATTTGAGAAATATTGAACGACCAATACTACATCTTGATTCATTTAAGAGATATAGAAAACTTCATTTTTGTAATGTTTTGTAATGTCAAATAACTTTTTTATTTGTGTAAAATTTTGCATTTATTTTCCACAGACATTTATAACACACTTAATTGGATGAAGCAGTGGAATTACAAAAAAATATTTTTTGATACTTATCTTACCTTCAAAGTAAAATTATGAAATTATTTGGTATTGACCAAAAATTGAGTTTTTCTGGATCTATGCTATGTGTTATATTTGTGACGTCTCATCTGTGTGAACTGCGAAACAGAATTAGTCCCTGTCGTTAATCTGTCTATTACATCAAAAAAATATTAAATTAGTTATTTCTAAATTACATAAATAAATTCTGCAGGTGCAATGATAAAACTGCCTTTATTGAAACTAAAATTTGTTCAAAATATGAACAGAACAATCCTGTAAATGGTGCTATATTCACAGTTACATACTGCAGCTAAGCAATGCCATTTTAAAGAAATTTCGTAAAAAGGCTCTTAAAAACTCAAACAGCGAACAGTCGGTAAAGTACATCTATGATTTCATACATAGCAACTTGACCAAATCTGTATAATTGGAAACGGACAGAAAATTAATGAATCTCCAGTATACAATTCCAGAATTATACATGATTTTACTCTTAGTAATTTCTCTAGTCTTATCGTCCTTAGAAATGACTACTACTCCTGCTGTGCCTGGTTATACACATCAGTTGTAAAACAAAAACATCTCCGTTACTATTATGAAGAATACTAGTGCATTGGGCTTTGCTTTTCTAAAGGCAGGTCAGTTAAGACTGGTGTCAGTCTAGCTCTGTTTTATAACTTACAGTAGCAATTGTATCTTAAATAAATTGTACAACATTAATAATGCGGCAAATGCAGTTGCTCGTAATTTCAGAGAACCAATGGATTTTTATCTCATAGAATAACAGAAATAGAATTTAAATAAGGCTACTTAGAAGTGTATATTTTGTAAATCGTTTAATATAATTGACTCAATTGGTAATGAACAAAAAATAGCTTTATTAAAAAATTATTTCTGTTAATACCATGCGTTTGAAATATATACATTTTAAAATTCTAAAATATATGGATATTCCAAAAATTTAAGTTTGGGTTTAACTGAAAAACACAAGCTATAGAAAAAATTACATAACTATTAAAACAAAAAAATTCTCAAATAGAAAAGTTGTTCAGCATCACAAAAAACATCCTGTACCTTCTAAATGAATCAAGATATCAAAATGTGGTTTTCCTAATCAAAATATCATTTTTGAAAATTTTAGTATTTCTGGTCTAGTATCTAGAAAATAGAAAATATCTTTCAGTTTTGCTGAAATTGATCCACCATTTAAAGGGTGCTAATATGATTGGCTAGTTTTGACAATGGCAGTGTCTTCAATCGAATATAAAATGAAATAGGCCTAGTCTCCACAGCTTTAATATGATACATTAATAAAAAAAAGATTTGTGTGTTTTGTACTAATACTGTGAACTGTGTATTAGCGTATATAACTTTATTTTATAAGTTACTCATTATTAGTTGATATTGAAGATTGATATGAATGTGAAGCAAATTGGGACTTTTTTTTGTTAATTTTACATTGCATATTTTTAAAGATTCCCAAGTAATGTTATACGTATGTACTTATCGTGGTATTATTAAATTTGATGTTTTTCATGTTAAGTTTGCATAAAAAGTTGCTTCGCTGTACTTTTACTAGCTTTGTGAAATAATTAGATCTGGGATATATAGAAATAAGTTGCAGAAGTATTGCCACATAAATATCTTAGCTACTGTCGTACTTCAACAAAAAGTTAACTACTAAATAATTAGTAATTTTTTTGTGTACTTAATACTTAAGAAAAACAAAAAGGGTTGAGTTTTGGAAATATAAACCAAAGTTGAATTTTTTAAAATTGGAAATACACATTAAACTTTGTACATTGTAATCTTTAGAAATAATTATACAAAACATGTAAAAGTTTACAGAATGTTTTTTTAAATTCAATTTTGTCAAAACAGTGTTCAAATATGGTACAATTACAATTTTCTTCCAGGTATGATAATAACTGATATATTTTAGTGATAATATTTTTGTAGCTATTTATATACAGGGTGTTAATTAAGTATGTACAATAAATTCATCAGACTATTATTTGAGTGATTTTAAGACAAACAGTTCATATGAACATTGGTCCGCAGATGCTTCGTTTTGAAGATACAGGGTGTTAAACTTTTGGAAAAAAATTGCTATTTCATAAATATCTTAAATACCCTTTACCCAATTTTGTTGTAATTTGCCACTTTTCCCCATGTTTGTTGTGTGGTCCAGGGATATGCAATTAAGTGGATTTTATTTTTTTTTCTACAAAAAAGTTGTATTTTTAGTTGCTTAATTCAAAAAATATATAAAAGTTGCAAAAAAAGTCAGTGGCATATATTTTTTTGTCAAAAATATTCGTTAAGGTACTCGGGACTTAATAAATCTAGTCAAGTTAGGGATAAATTAGCCCCTTAACACTACAAATAACACTGCCAAATTACAACAAAATTGCCATTTACAAAATAGCATTTTTTTTACAAAAATTTAACACCCTGTATCTTCAAAATGGCCAATGTTTATATGAACTTTTTTGTCTTAAAATCACTCAAATAATCGTCTGTTGAATTTATTGTACATACTTAATTAACACCCTGTATAATTTTTTTGTGGCAACAGAGATTCGTGTAATAATAGAGTTTTTCATTTTATTGTAATTTCTATGAGATGTGATTCAGTGATAGATTATTTCTATAATAACAGAATAAGAGATATAAAACTAGTGCTTTGTAGTAGTTGCTTTGGCCTGTTGCCAAACAGTTTTAATTTGGCTAAAAATAAATTAAATTTTATTTTTTAGAGGAAAACTGAGCTAAGGCTAAGACATAAATAAGGCCCACATGTTCATTTTAAATATCTAATGTTATTTCTGAAGTTTGTTACATTTAAACATAGAATGGAATTATTATTTGCTTATTATATTCATTTTAATTTTTGAAAATCAAAAAAGTATGTTTTTTTTAAATAGACTATAGTGCACGTGCAACTGGCCTTATTAGAATCCTGGATTTTAATAATTTTAAACTTTACTTAAAAACTACACTTAAATTATGTTATCACCTGCGAACATACCTATATCTGAGGCTGTTGTGCAAACAATGGTATAGTGTATGGTGTTGTTTGAGGTGCTGTGCAACTAGTTGCAGAAATTCAAAACTGAAATTAATTGCACGAGTGGCGTTGCGCAACTGTCGTATATGGGCGTACTCGCGACATATGCATTCATTTCAGCTGTTTTCAAACGTAATAGCAGATTTTTTTTGTCTAAATGGTGATATCATTTCTAGTAATTCACCAAAAGTTATGGGGTCCATTCGCACAAGATAAACAGAAAAAAAATATATTTTTTTAAATGGCTATTCATTAAGGAGGTTTATCGGTTACGGAGGTACGTCTAAAGTCTAACGAGAGTTTCTGTAGATTCGCTAGTGACTAAAATAGTAAGCCTTTAGATTTGGCAATGTTGCACTGGGCTGGAGCGCGCACGGCTCGGCGTTCGCTCGCTCGCATTCGATCATTCTGTTTGTTTGGAAGCCTAAGCTTGAAATATACATCATATGTCACGCCTGTGAATTTCAAATAATACGCTTC